GTAGCAACGGCTGATGCCATTTGAGTAGCATGTTCTCTGGCCCGCTGCACCTCTATCAGTAATTACGCATCGATTGAACTCTGTCGTGACGGGAATTTGGAAAGCCCTGGGACTACTTCCCTTGGCTGTTTACATGCCGGTTTCAATTTTAATTGTATGGTGTTATTGTAAGCATGCAATGCCCTCCAGATGATTCCTAGGCCAGCAACTGTGCATGATTAAAAAGAATGAGGGTTTGTCGCAACTCTTAAAGAGATTTTCGCCAATAATGACTTCTTAATGAGTGCCAAACAGAGTTTGCCAATGACTTGAATTGCTGTACCGCTTGGATTTAATTTGAGTCTCTCTTAAATATCAGCGCGCACCAGTAGGTTATGTTGGGGATTGTCTTACAACTATTATAGTCCTATCGAACTTGATGAGGTAAAATGTCTTCTGCTGTCGTTTTAGGCCTCCAATTGTTATTTCCCGTGCAATTGTATTGATACGTGCTGGATAACTGCCCTATAGGAAAGAACATTTCATAGTCTGGATCGCTTGAATAGGTGTATCGATATTTTTTAGACCACGGGCTGAGGATGGCCCAAGGGCTAAGAAATGCGTCATCATGTAACATGGTAAGACATGACTGGGATTACTCAAGTAGGCTTACCTTTCCGCAGATAACATGATTCTCTGGATCCGCAAAACATGGATCCTGGGGTTAATGGGAGAGAAATGGATGTCAAAAGAGTATGAATAGAGGAAAATTAGGTCATTCGAGTAGAGACTTGGAAGCTCTTCCAGCTGGTGCGATAAGTGAAGCGCGGCTATAGCATGCCCGGTATGTCCCCAGATCAATCAGACGGGCCTGTTCTCGTTAACATCCGGCAGACCTCCATGCCTTGCATGTACTGGTATCGTGCTGGCGCGACAAAGCCGAGTCGGCCAGACGCGACCGAGCTACAATTGCAGAAGTCTCTCGGCTGATCCGCATGCGGGCACGACAGCGGTGTCGCTATCGCCGCCCTCAGACAACAGCCATCGCGTGTCAGCTGGCCGGGATGCGGGCCTGTCGGAGCACGCCAATCTGGGATGGAGCAGGGAGGCTCACCGCACTGTACGACACGTCGGCGCCGACATCTGACGAGCTCCTCCTCTTGGGCCCACCACGCCCCCGCCCCTCCCCTCCGCCTCGGACAGGAGGGGGAGATGGACGGTCGCCGCGCGGGCTGGCCGCCGACCTAGAGGGTGCTTCAGCGATCCGAAGCGCCACTCGGACACGGCCGGGACCGTCAATGGCTTCTGATGGCCGATGTGCGCGGTCCTGAAGGGCGGCAGGCGCGGACAGGGCAGGCGAGCAGGCGCTGTTCAGTCCTGGCGCCCTATCGATTCTGCTGCCGAGGCGCGCCGGACGCACGAAAACAGTCACGCGACGGTGTCAACACAGACGGCCAAGGCAGGCGACACCCTGCCATGTATCCGCCGGCCGACGAGGCGACCCGAGCACGGGCGTGGGAACCGGCGCAGTGGCGGGTCGCTGCTAGTGCGATGTGGAGGAAATATTCACGACAGGGTCCGGCTAGTTTAACTAAGAGACCGGACGAAGCATGCTGAATACGGATGAGGTACCGGTGAAATGGGATGACGTAGGGAGGTGGAGAACACGAGGGTTGATGAGGTCTGAGTGCTCGAGCGGAAGGCTATCCGCACCGATGTGGATGCATTTTGAAGGTTAATGATTCTCGAGGTTGGATGTTTTTGGCACTGGAGTGATTGGATTTCCAGCTGGAGATTTAGCGTGTTTTGAAACTCGGCAATAACAATCTGCACCATATCTATGCTTAAGATCTGCAATAGCATAAGAAGAGCCTCCTTAAAACTGGTGGGGGAGAAACACCAAATTCCTTCAAATTATATTTTTGTAGTCCTCTATTTTCAAAGCTTGCTGTGGGATTTCGATTAAATAATGAGTGTCCGGGAGAAAAGGAGAGGAGAGAGATGAAGCCCCTTGAAAAATCATGGCTCCATACATGTGCGATTTCTCATGGTACGCAAGAGGCTTTAAACAAATTAATGGCTGCTCGTGTTCCTGGTTGCAGCTTTTTTTAGGCTGATAAAGGCACCCGCTTACCATTCACATGTTCATTGATGCGCTGCTCATATGCTCATGGATACATGGCACTAAGCGACTGTCGGGAAAGAGACACAGATATTACGTTTATGGGTCGATACGTGTTTGACCACAATATGCCCTCGCAGAACGCAATTCCATGGTATCGGCAAACCCTGGCCTTTTGCTCTCCGCTCCTGGCCGTTCGCTCTCAGCCGTTGTGCCCTGGTCGTTCGCTCTCCGCTTCTGGCCGTTCGCTCTCCGCTCCTGGCCGTTCGCTCTCCGCTCCTGGCCATTCGCTCTCCGCTCCTGGCCGTTCGCTCTCAGCCGATGGGCCCTGGCCGTTTGCTCTTAGCCGTTGGACCCTGGCCTTTCGCTCTCCGCTCCTAGCCGTTCGCTCTCAGCCGATGGGCCCTGGCCGTTTGCTCTTAGCCGTTGGACCCTGGCCTTTCGCTCTCCGCTCCTGGCCGTTCGCTCTCAGCCGTTGTGCCCTGGTCGTTCGCTCTCCGCTCCTGGCCGTTTGCTCTCCGCTTCTGAAACTGCCTTGTGACTTGGAGGTTTCCTGGTGAGTCCAATGCGAGGCGAAGCGGAGCGTGCTGCGACAGCGACGCGGCAGGAGCGGTGCGCTATCCATCACCGGCTGTCCCTGGAAGGACCCACACCGCCACGCCCTCCACAACAGGGATGGGGGGGGGGGGTCGCAGAGACATCCAAAGGGTGGGTCTGGGAAGGGCGCGCCCACACGCTCCCGTACCACGAGCGCTCAACCTCATCACGTCCGGTGTGTCCCGTTTTGGTCGTGCTGGAGCTCCAGAGCCTTGACGTGCATTAGAGCGTTATGCTTGTCCTCTGCAGAAGCGACAGTTTCCATGCATATATCTTCACGCTGCGACGCGAAGGTCAGCCCTTTGCACTAAAACGCAAAACTTTGCACCCTTCTTGAAATGCTGTAGCCTCTCAGTGCTGTAGCTTTTCAACGGGCGCGCACAGAAAGCATACCAAAATTAAATCCGCATGGTAATTAACGTTGAAGGTGGTCACGATTCCTATATGCACAAGCGAACATATCATTTTAAGTTTATGCACTCCAGTTGGATACCTGTTGTTAGGAGGCAGCGAAAGCCAAACACAACGCCTATTTAAGAAACAGCTTGTTGTCTCTCGGGTAACTGTGCCAGTCAACCGTGGAGCAGGATGCCTTTATAGGCAGGGAGAGTTTTTCACGCCTTTAACCCCGAAGTGCAATGGGGCATCGCCATGGCGAACACTCTATTCCAGCATCAGACAAACATCTGGAAGCTATCGGCAGCCACAACGCCACGCAACTCGACTAAGTTATCCGATATGGGGTTTTATAGGCGCCTAAACGCAGAACACGTCCACGGCACATTAGAAACGCCACCCAGCCCCCGCAGCAGCAAAATCTGCAGCGCCCCCATCGCAACCTCGTGAAATTTAATGAAAGCATCCGGGCAGTTCAACTTTTGGGAAATATGACTGCCTCGCGACCTCAGCGTAGCCGGTACATCGGTAGACGGTACATCGTGAGAGATTAGTGATTAGTGAACGCTCCCCCAGTCGGCTTTTCACTAGTGGTCGCGAGGTATATGCACCCGTAATGTCAAGCTGTTCAAAGAAGCAATCATGACGTGCCCCCGAAAGGAGTTATAATGATCAGATTCCAACGGGATAATCGTTGAAATCACATATCAATAAGGAAGCAGACTGCTGCTCGGAGAAACAATCGCTTACGTACGGAGGATCGGTTGTCATACGCTAGACATCTTAGTCTTAAATATCTTTAGTAGACAGGGACTTTGATCGAATTAATTACACCAGCATGTGGAATAGTGATGAACGTTTCCCCCTGAAAGCCGGAAAGGCATGATCTTATAGGAAGTGCGGAAACAGTATGGTGACTTCAGACAGCTGTAAACGATTCTTTTAGGAACGACACAGATTCGCGACTTAAATAAAGCCTTTCAGCCCCAACACAATTGCTCCAAATAACCACTACCAACAATGCACTTTTTGCGCCGCCATAGCGCCGTAATGGTACAGTCCAAGGACCGCAATAATGTTAGTACCCTGCAATACTCCCAGGAAAGAGACCAGCATCAGCTCCTGGAAGTAGCCAAAGACCGTCTGGTGGAGTAAGTTCCAAATTTAATGCCAGCTGCACTAAAATAATAAAAAATGAATATAACTTTACACATTTCTCACGGTCTTGAGGGAACATGACGATCGCCCTTTCCATCCCCCCCCCCCCCCTCTCTAGACGCGTACTTGAGTTTAGTGAGTTATCACATAGACACTATTTCACCCGATTTTCAAAGATATTGAGGCACAGTGAGCAAACTTCAGGAGAATACTAGGGTATCACACGGATCAGAAGATCTCCTAGCTTTCGAAATATGAAGCTCAGCAACTTGTTTTTGGAATGCCCGATCCCGCTACCAGATTTTCAACATGCCTGGTGCGCAGGCTGCGGCTTATGTGCGACGTTCAGTACAGTAGTGTTCCTCTGAATGCTCGCAGACAACCCCATGCAGGCCTACTGCACCACAGAGCCCAGCCCCTCCGTGCCGGCCCACCACACCACAGAGCCCAGCTCCTCCGTGCCGACCCATTACACCACAGAGCCCAGCCCCTCCGTGCCGGCCCACCACGTCACGGAGCCCAGTCCCTCCGTGCTCGCCCATTACACCACAGAGCCCAGTCGCTCCGTGCCGGCCCACCACACCACAGAGCCCAGCCCCTCCGTGCCGGCCCACTACACTGCAGAGCCCAGCCCCTCCCTCGCCGGCCCACTACACCAAAGAGCCCAGCCCCTCCGTGCCGGTCCACTGCACCACAGAGCCCAGCCCCTCCGTGCCGGCCCACTGCACCACAGAGCCCAGCCCCTCCCATGCCGGCCCACTACACCAAAGAGCCCAGCCGCTCCGTGCCGGTCCACTGCACCACAGAGCCCAGCCCCTCGGTGCCGGCCCACTGCACCATAGAGCCCAGCCCCTCCGTGCCGGCCCACTGCACCACAGAGCCTAGCCTCTCCGTGCCGGTCCATTGCACCACAGAGCCCAGCCCTTCCGTGCCGGTCCACTACACCACAGAGCCCAGCCCCTCGGTGCCGGCCCACTGCACCACAGAGCCCAGCCCCTCCGTGCCAGCCCACTACACCAAAGAGCCCAGCCCCTCCGTGCCGGCCCACTACACCAAAGAGCCCAGCCCCTCCGTGCCGGCCCACTACACTACAGAGCCCAGCCCCTCCGTGCCGGTCCACTACACCACAGAGTCCAGCCCCTCCCGTGCCGGTCCACTGCACCACAGAGCCCAGCCGCTCCCGCGCCGGCCCACTACACCACAGAGCTCAGCCCCTCCCGTCCCGGCCCACTACACCACAGCTACAGAGCGGGCGCGGAGCAGCGGACCGTGTGACCATGAGGGATGACCTCCGGCCGGGTCGAGATCCCCGCCTCGCCCCACCAGTCGCGCCACGTGAAGTCCCGACCGACATGCCGGCGGGAACCGTGGTCAATTTGTGATCATTGCGAGTGTCGTGAGTGTGCCGGCCAACCGGACGGTCACCAGGAAAACGGAGTGGGACATAACGTTCGTACGTGATGCGCTTTTGTTTATTTGACCTAGCCAAGCTTGGGACTTGACATCGAAAAACCGCTTCAGTCCTCTGAGCAAACTGAGCAGGTTCGGACCGGAACAAGAGCCGCATCAACTTTCGATCCTCACCGAGCGGTATGGGCCGGTTTGGACGTTTGCCTGCTTTACTGACGTGAATGAGCGAATAGGCAAAGGTATTTTGGTTGCCAAATTGTAAGCATTGAAGACCAGCATTAAATGGCAATGCACATTGGCCCTCACGAAGACATTTGCTTTAAAGGCCTGCATATCGGTTCCCAAAATCAAGCACGAAAGAATCCGCCGGTTTCGAAGAAATGCATCAACCCCTGAATACGCTTTGAGTGGCGTGGCAGGCAGTGAACCTCCACCGCTGAGCAAGGCACGCGCGCCTGCATCAAACGTGCTCCGTCTGATCCCCTGCCCGCAAACTGTTTCAACCAGCGGTGCGCTGTCGGCACAAGGGCCCGCGGCGGTTTTCATTCCGAGCTCGCGTTGACCTTTGCCACGAGGCTACCCGTGGCCGCACGACCACCTGCTGCCTGCTCGTTGGCCAGCCAAGCATACGCCGGAGGCCCGGCGGCCATGACGGACGGACGGGAGGCAGTAACGAACCTGCCGCGCCGCGGACAGGCCGGAGCTGTTGGTTAATGATACGGTGATAGCAGCAAACGGTGACAGTAACAGTAACAGCGGTGGTAAACGACGAAAACGGTCTGGCGGCGGTAACAGGCGGTGAAAAAATGGAAATGAGCAGCAACACATGACAACATTGTGCTGGTGTCAGTAGACAGATTGCCAGGATGACAGGCATTCCTTTTTTGTCGGCTGGATTTTTAATAGATCTTAAAACCAGAGCCTGATGAGAAAACAGACGGATTGACTGTCTGATGTCTGATCACCTTGTCATGGCAAGAGATGTTCTGCCTGTGACGATGAACAGGGGCCGGGACGACAGACGAGGGCACCGGCTATGACCACAAACTATGTTGTGCAGCCGCAGACAGACTGTCCCTGGGGACGCGGGCGTCGTTGCCAGCTGGCGCGGCGCCTGAGCAACAATGCTGACGGCTGATCTTGGCGTCCAATGACATGTCGCTGGTGAGGTGTGACTGGTGATTACAGCTGCCCACAGCCGCCAGCCTCTCAGCAGGCAGAGGCCCGTTTTTGGCGTTGTCCGCCATCAGGCAGCGCGTGTGCTGGAGCGTGCTGTGAAAGCAGAAGGCATTAACTCTTTAAGTATCCCTCGCTTTTCAGCGACCCGTTATCTGCGCGCGGTGGTGTGGAAGTGGAAAGCGGGGAACCTTAAACCACTATCTTCCGGGGAGAACTATTCAGTGATCAGAACGCATTTCAGACTTTATCGCATTGCTCAATCGGAGCGTGAAATCGCTGCCAACTTCTCGCGCCCTGTCTCCAACGAAAGTCCACAGCTCTCATTTCCACGGCGCCTTTGGCAACGCGCCAATCGCACGGGCCCTTTGACTTGATTTCGGGGGACTGCTCAGCGTGTTGCCCTCGCGTTTGCGTGATGCGCTGGCGCCGCGCTCCGGAGTGCGGCACACACGCCAGCTTGCGTTCCGTGCCGCGTGCGTGAGCATCGTCCATTTGCGCAGTGGCCGTTCGCGTCCATCGCCGCTGGCAGCCATCGCTATTCGACGCGACCGATGGCAGACCGCGCCGCATCAAGTATTCATCCGCGGCACGTCGGGGCAGCGCTGTCGTATTCTCGGCGCGGCGGGCCCCTGTGGGTGGGACGTGCCGGGCCACGGCAGGGCATGGCGGCGGGCCTCGCGGGGGCCGGGGGGACACTGAGCCGTCCGCACGAGATCGATTACGGCTAACGCCACGAGCCGAGCGGCCAGCCGGCCTGGCGGCGTTCGCGTCAACTGGGCCTCACATAAAGCCAATCGATGGCGATGATGCCGGCCGGACTACCCTGACGAGATTAGCGTGTCCCCACGGCCGCCAGTGCTGTCGGGGGCCGATACGTCGACGCCAGGGACGGCACCCCGGGGCGGCCAACGGCTCCCGTCCTGGGCGGGCGGCGATTTCCAACGCGGACCCCCCGACTGGGCTCGGCGGCAGGGCCGGCGCCCGGCCCAGGTCCGCCCGCTGCTCGCAGATAACCTTGCGGTCCCACTGGCCGGAGACGCTGACCTTTGGCCGATCGATCTGGTGGGGGAAATGGAGACGGCCGCGAACTTAACTCCACTAGAATGGGCCAGACTCCAACGATTAATGTCGGAATAATTGGTAGTTTAATAATAAATGCATGAGATCAAAGCCGGTCCCCGAAATAATACTTGGCAGCGATTGGTTTAGCAAGGACATTCGAGTATACTAGCTCACGTAAGCACGTTGTGAAGGTGGTGCCGTCCGGACGGCCAAGAGCGATGTCAGGTGCGGGGTACCGGGGTATTTGATACGCCTAGTGAAAGCAACCCAAGTAACACAAAAACAGCTGCCCGCAGGTTCGCGGGATCAGAAAGCAGGGCTGAATGGCAAGGCAATGGTTCCCGTGGAATGGATATTGACGAAAAACTCACCTCAAGAATCATGGCCAACATTGGTTTTACCAGAAGTGTTCTCTTACTTTCATCATAAAATGCTAATAGTTTGTTTTTGTTCTGCTTTAAAGGGCAGTTCTTGTCTAACAGCATATCACAAACACCAGAAATATTGCTTCGTTAAAATCTTGTCTTTGGATGTAACACTATGAACTAAAATTCCGTCATAATCAATTACAGTACGTTAGCGAACTGCTCACCTTCCATAAGGTCTGCGTGCGGTCTAAAAATCTCAGAAGGAATCCAGGTGGAAGGACGGCTGCTGGAGAAAGGGTTCTTTCAGGGATGAGAAAATTGTGGACGTAACTGTACATGTTGTTTCACACTACATCCAATAGGCCCAATCTGCTTTTAGAAAAGAGGCCCGCCGAAAACGTGTCCGTGTCTATTTTCTAGAGAATTTTCAAAACCTTTGAGTCTAGCTTCTGATCGAACAAAAGGAATGCCGAACACCTTAAATATTACGACTTACGTAATTCATATCTGGCCGCAACGTCAGGAACTGGAACACTGCCCTATACCTGACAGTCATGTTCACAAAGAAACAAAAGATAGCACACATTTCTAATCGTTTTCTCCCACTTTTTTTTTCTCTGAAACCGCTTGTGATGTCCAGTTTCAAACTGCAGCCTTACGTTTCCAAACGTCCCTGCACGTCAAGCCGAACCGCGCCTGTTTCATACAAAAATGAGCTGGTTAAGATGCGCACAGGGACCTTTGCAAAACCAACATTATGCAACATTTTCTCTAATGGCTCCCTGTTTCGAAAATTTGCTAACTTTTTATGTTAAAAATGTATCTTGTTGAAAAAAATAGAGCGGTGCTGGTCTCATAGCAATTGGGCAAACAGTTCTCGAGATCTCTGTGTATGTTGGTAGAATCTGCCCTTCCCGCAGGTGAACGCAGATCTAAAACGTCAGAAGTCTTCGGAAGGTATAGTACTAAGGTAAGTAGATGCAACAAAATAAGCATATTGAAAAATAGCTTTCCTTGATAGTCGGGTATAATGAGCCCTATAGAACTTGCCGCGAAAGCCGACATTTCGAATATCAGTTATGAGCTATTGGGCAAGAACTTCAGAAATCTGACCTTTCCCTAAAATCCGACGTGCCTAACCTAATAACGGTTAAGCGTTTTGCTCGACACTCCCCCTAAATCATATAACATAAATAAATGCATAGACGCCTTATTGTGCAAAGGCTGGTAACACGTACCCTGAGACGAAACCGCACAACTCACTCGCTGTGCTAGCCGCAATCAACTGCTCACTCAGTTCCGTTACACTTGAAGTACCACGGCGTCGGACATGCGTCTTTGAACGTCCCCTGTGATACCAATGAGTGCTGTTAATTCCGAGCTTGTATCAAAGAGCGGCAAGGTTCTACGAGAAGAAGACTGGCTGGCTGTCGTACGCCGAAGAGCTAAAATCAGCCGAGTGGCTATTCGCACACCCTCCCACGTATTGTCTGCCAGTCCTACCACCATTTATCAACGACACTTCAAATCACACCACGTGATTGTAGAATGCAGGAGCAGAGCTCTGACCGCATGACCACCATCATGGCGATGATCATCATTGCCATGGATTCAATGCAAATTATGCTATACATATATACATACAGCTTAATCTTTGTTCCAAGACAGTAGACAGCTTGCTACGCGATAGAACGATGATGCAGTCATGATGAAAAGACACCAATAACGTAAGAGAGGCACACAGCCATATACTATCCTGAATATCACATTGGTCAAATCTCGACATGGCCACTGCGCAGCTCTGCGAGGTCACAACGGCTCACAGCCGGCGATTTTAAGACCAGGCCTGATGATGTGGAAACTCCCTGCGTAACAGGGTTAGTCAGAAAGAGGGCAGCTCCAACTCGCCAGCTGCCGTCGACCGGGCACCTCGGGCCAGCAAATAGTTCTCCTTTCATCTCAACAGCTCTAACTTTATATCACCTCCCCCACAGACCGTGGAGATGTCGGAAGTTACCTCCGACCGTACCTTGTCCTGGGCGTGGCGCATCCAAATTAGTAAAAAAGTACGATGTCAGTCTGTTTTGTCTATATTGGTATCAGATTCGTCACCATTCTACAGCTGT